GAAGGAAGGAAGGAAGGAAGGAAGGAAGGAAGGAAGGAAGGAAGGAACCTTCTGTCAACATTTACAAAACCACACTCCCAAACTCTACCCTCTCCCACTGAGGTTTGATTCAGGAAAGTGGGACACAGGGTGGCCGCTACTGCCAGTCTCACCCAGGGAGCTTTCAAAAGGAAGCTGGGCAGGGCTCTTCCCAGGGGATTCTAATCAGCTAACCTGGGGGAATTCTAGTCACAGAGAAGCTAGTTTCCCCTCAGGCAGGGAGACAGTACTGCTGAACCCCACAGAAGACTTCAGTGAGTGGATGAGAAAGGCATCAGGTAGGGGTGAGCAAAATGGGGCATGTACAGAAAGGAGGGCTGGAGACACAAGGAGCATAAAAAGGCAAGAGGGCCTTCACCCTAAGACCCAGTTTAAAGTCCCTGCTAACTTCCACAGGACTGATAAAAAACAATGTTTGTTTGTTTGTTTATTATTATTAATAAGGGTGTGTGCGTGTGTGCGCACACGCGCATACGCGCATGCCTGTGGAGGTCAGAAGATGTCAGGTCTTCTGGGACTGAAGTTACTGGCAGTCATCACCTGGGAATTCAACCTGGATCCTTTAGAAAAGCAGCCAGTACCCTTAACCATCTCTCCAGGCCCCTAAAACCAATGTTCATTAAAGACATCACCATCAGGATATAAAAAGCAGAAACTAAGCCATACTTCTTTCCTGTAGCGAGAGTGTTTGTAGCCTTGACTTTACCTGTACTAGCATTCTCCACTACCTCTCAATCTAAATATACCTCATGAAATACCTTGTTCTATTGGCAATTCTAAAGAAAATTAAGAAAATAAGTAAATTACACATAGTTTAAAGTAGTTTTAAACTTTGCTTTCTGGGGGAACATGGAGATAGAATCTGTATTTAGCTCTGACTCTCCTGGAATTCACTATGTAGACCTGACTGGCCTTGAACTCAAGATACCCACCTGACTCTGTTTCCTAAGTGCTAGCCTCAATACAGGTCTCTATCCCCTTGCTTTCAAGTTGAGGTCTTACTCTGCAGCCCAAGCTTGCCTGGTCCCACCACCAAGTAGTCCAACCTGACCTAGAATTCACAGCAGTATTCATGCCCCAGCCACTGGAGGCTGAGATTATAGGTTTTTTCATTGTGAACACAGACCCAAGGGTAATGAGGAGCCTCACCTTCAGTGGCACAAATTCACAGCAAAGCTAGGTCGGACTCCAATCTTTTTTCCCCAAGACTGTCACCATCAGGCACAAACCTGCCAGCTCCTACATAGTACCCAGATCTGAGCTGAAGGCTTCACATGATGTATAATGAATCCATTCATACTTGATATTCAGTTGACAATCTGTGTACACTGTGCTGGAGACACAGGCTCTCCTGGTTGCCCAGGGTGATGTGAACAGCTTAAACAGTCCTCCCTTCTTTAGTTTGCCCCACCCCCACAAGCAGCTGAAGATATCATACACACTATAACTTCCAGGTGCTTATTTAGTTACATTGTGAGAGCCATCCTCAGTACGTTACATAGTTTCCCATTGTGATTGCCATCCTCAGTATGTTACATAATTTCCCATTGTGATTGCCATCCTCAGTATGTTACATAGTTTCCAAGCTTAAATAACTAGACAATCGCAGGGGAGGTGCAGAGAAAGATACAAGATTTAAGGCAGAAGCCTAGAGGCAGGAATGGAAGCAGAGAGCATAGAAGAATACTGTTGATTGCCTTGCTCCCCATGGCCTTGCTCATGGTAAAAGAACAAATGTACACCAGGTTCCGGGACAGAAAAGGAAATTCTTACTTTTGAAATGGTACAGTGCTGACAGGCTAGGAATCTAGTGTTCCTGAAAACTACCAATGTCATTTTACTTCACTCTAGGTAGAGGCACGATTAAATTCTCAAAATGTAACACTTGAACATCTTTTAAGGTGCATGGTAGCTGCATTAAGACAGTCAAACAAATGAAGAAATCAGTCATGAATGACCCTAGAATATTGATGACTAATGATGCAAACTGAATGATACTCTACTTGCTGGATAGATGTCTTTTGGACTGCAGAGCTATTATCAAAAACTGGATATCAAAATAAGATTTACAAAAAGCATGATGGCTTACAACACTGGGGAAGCAGGGTAGGAAGACAGCGACTACGAGGTCAGCCTGGGCTACATAGAAGGACTTTGTCTAAACAAATAAATCCCTGTGCCAGAGCTGGAAAGAAGGCTCAATGGTTAAAAGCAATTGTTCTTGCTATGGACCTGGGTTCAATTCCTGGCACCCAAATGGCCATTCATAACTACGGCTCTAGGAGCTCCAATCCCCTTTTCTGACATCTGTTAGTACCAGGCACATGTGGTACAGACACACGGACATGTGAGCAAACACCCATGCACAGAAAATGAATTTTTTAAAAAGTCCTGTGTCAATAAATAAACACATGTTCTATAATCTCTACAGAAGCCAAGCGATTCCATGTGCTATACATGAACACAGTAGAACTGTGAAGTAAACTCCCTTGTTCACTGACCAGGAACACACAACACCCAATGAAAAACAAGCATAGCCTATCCCGGCCTTCTAAAGCAGTTAGCTTCTAGGTGATAAAAACAAAAGAAAAATTTGTCTTTGAGACAAAGTCTTGCTGTGGAAGTCATATTACCTCAACCTCGCAATTCTCCTGTCTCAGCAGGAGTGCTGGGCTTACAAGTGTGCACACTGTGTATAGCATGGAAATCTCCTAAAAACCGCTTTGCTTCAACAATCAGCCTTGACCCAGAGTACTGCACCAAAGACAAACCAACAAAACAAATCCACCAAAACTAATTTTTTATTGAAATGACATATTTGCATAACTCTACCACCCCCAAATACTTCAAAACAACTCATGCTTATTATTTGGGGATCAAATTAAAAGTTTCCATTGATGAGTGACAGATCACTCAACACAGAGTTTGGCACGAACATTTTACCACTTAGCTCAGACTGCAGTGCTACTTAAGTGTGGCGACAAGGGCCAAAGGACTTACCTCAAACTGTGGGTAGGGAGGAGTCATGGTTGAAGGGGGCCCTGAGGTGGGAGGTGGCATCCCTGAAGTAGGTGGGAACAGACCCAAGGCATTCAGATTTAATCCAGGGATTAAATGTGCTTGAAGCTGCAATGGTAGAAGAGGATCTTTAATTTTCTTCCAAAACAATCAAGGGAGTATTTATAAATGTTGGAATTCAGATTATGACCTTTTGTCTAATAAAGAAAAAAAAATACCACACTAAGACTGTTTTTTTTTTTTTTTTTTTTTTTAAACACAGTAGGTATTCCACAGAACTATAGGTAGTGCTGACACCTCTGGCACTGTTAAATTTGAGGGCCGGTTTGCATTGCACTGAGGAGTCTCAAAGGCCTGCAAAGGTAGCATGATCTGTCCCTCCTCCACCAGCTCGGAACACTAAGACAGAAGGTGCTCTGCACACGCTGGTCTTCCATAAACAGCCTCAGAGCCCTGCTCTCCCAAAGGAGGACCGAGTGAGCTGCACTTGCTGAAACCACAGCAGGTACTCAGAACAAGTGCTGCGAGACGATCTTCATTCCTTGCCTCTATCTGAATCCTTCAAAAATCAGGTCCAGTCTACACACTAAGTACACCTTTGAGAGGGAGGATACAGGAGCCACGGAGGGGATACTGAGTTGGTGTATTCATTTTTTTTTTTTTTTTTTTTTTTTTTGGTTTTTTTGAGACAGGGTTTCTCTGTGTAGCCCTGGCTGTCCTGGAACTCACTCTGTAGACCAGGCTAGCCTCGAACTCTCGAACTCAGAAATCCACCTGCCTCTGCCTCCCAAGTGCTGGGATTAAAGGCGTGCGTCACCACCGCCCGGCGGTGTATTCATTTTTTAAATGTATGTGTATAGATGCTTTGGTTGCTTGTATAGCTGTACCCTTCTTAGGTTATTGTGTCATACGACAGGCCCAACTGAAGATCGCTCACTTACATTTAACGAGCACCTTTTACCCAGTGGGCTTCCACTGCTGCCACCATTCTGACCATTAAATAGTGGCAGGAGTTTGCTATTAAAGCCTTCGCCACATTTGCCATATGAAATTCTCAATCTCCCAGGTTTCTATGGGTAACACAGCAGTATTTAAACCTGTGCTTCTGCTTTCTTACTCTACAGTGTAGGGGCTGAGGCACGCAGGGCAAGCATTCTAGCACAGATGCTACGCTAAACCTGTACTATAGTCAAGACATGGACCTTCTAAATTCTCAGAATGGACTGGATCTTGCAATCTATCCACCTCAGCCTTCCCAGTTGCTGGTCTCGCTCCGTATGGGCACTTAAACCTGTGTTTTCTAATAGTAAGTTTGCATACATGGTATTTGTAATCTCAAAGAGCGTGTAAAATAGGAGATACCAGCTATCCGATACAGAGAAGAAAGCTGCAGCTCACAAACTGTTGGCAGGAAATAAAACCTGGTTCACCTGCCTCTAATGCTCACATCCTCAAATTAACACAGGAAAGGAGGTGATAACCTTTGGTGGCCAGGGATTAATCATCCCTTGTGTTTCAAGAAGCCAGGGTGCAAACGCTACCTTATTTGTTAGTAACCACTGACAGCCAAGCCCAATGCGAACGTTCGTGTGCCATCCCAGGGACCGGGGATGATGCTGACTACTCACTCAGAACACTTGAAGCACTGGGGCCACTGAAACAGTTCTAGCAAAAGACAGTTCTAACCCTGCATCAGGACAGTGGCATCCCCACACCAGAGCTCACATTCATGGAAGCGATGTCATTTTCGTAAGACTCCCTGATCTTCTTCATTATTTCCTCCTCAGCCTTGGCACATGTCTCAACATTGCCTTTAACTGTAATGGTGCGCTCCGGATTGTACAGCGTCAGTTCCTGCAATCTGTGGGCAGGAGAGTAAAAACAAGAATGTCAGGAGGAGACAGGTGACAGTCATTCAGCCCCACATGGCAACTGAAACCCAATGGCTGGCCCAGCATCATGAGAAAGTTCAGGATCAAGCACAAAGACCCAAATTGGATCTTGTAATGGCTTCCCTCCCACTCTCTCAACAGTACTGATGAGTGCATGGCTTCATCATGTCCAGGTTTTAAACCTGGCACACTTCTTGAGCCCTTCATTCCACCACCGACAGTGAACTGAGGCGGACTGAGCAAAAGGATGTTTGGTGCTACCAGGAGGCAACCAAGCTTTACAGGTTGATCTTAGTCTGAAGCAGCTGACAATTGTGTTTTCTGAAATAAGCAGGTGAATGCAGCAAAGCTCTCCCCAAAGGCAGATCAGCATCTGTGTGAGTGTGCTCAATTTTCTCCAATATTCTCAGAATTTAGATTAAGGCTGGCTAAAGGAAGTAACATAGATCAAGCCATCTTGACTACATTTTTAAATGGTCTATGTTGACCCCACTTAAACCTCTCAACAAACAACAACATTAAGAAAGTCTTTGCTCGGGCTGGAGAGATGGCTCAGTGGTTAAGAGCACCGTCTGCCCTTCCAGAGGTCCTGAGTTCAATTCCCAGCAACTACATGGTGGCTCACAACCATCTTTAGTGAGATCTGATGTCCTCTTCTGGGGTGTGAAGAGAGCAACACTGTACTCACATACGGAAAATAAATAAATCTAAAAAGAAAGAAAGAAAGAAAGGAAGGAAGGTCTTTGCTCAGCTCAGGTCGTACTCAAGATCCAAAGCCATGAGAAGTTGTATCTGTGTACATCTAAGCCTGCAGTAGTCAGCAGCCTTGAGAGGAAAAGCAACTTTTACCACAGGAAGGGGACTATGTACCTAGACTCAAAGAATAGGGGTGTGGGGGTGACTATCACATATGTTCTCAGAGTTAAACACCCATTTTCACTGCTAGGAACATGGTGGAGACTAACCTCGAACCAGAAGGATGGGCTACTATTCTTCTCCTCATATGTGTTTAAAATGTAAATCATGTAATGAAGGCATGAGTGCACTGTAACAGTCTAAGTTTCCTTAGACTATGTAAGTGTGTGAGTCAAGCCTCTACTGTCGAGCCATTCCTGTCAAGCACTGTGTGTTGTAACGTTATCATCCGTTTACAGCTCATCTGCCATTTCTACCTTCTCGGCAGCTATGACAGAAACCAAGGATTATCACCCCAGAAAAAAAGAAACTTTTCCTTATTTTCACAGTAGGCATGTACCCACGTGTGATAGCACACCTCAAAAATTATGCCTCCCACAAAGAAATCTGCAGTCTCTACACACATGGAAAAGGGCTGACTTGTGTAGATCATATGATGAATTCTGAGGTTCCATCATAAGACATCGCAGCTTCCAGCACCTTCTCTCCCTTGGCTTGCTCCCTCTCCTGTTCAAGAGCAGCCCTGTGGCCAGGCCCCATGCTGAGGTCCTGAGCCACTGACCCTCATAAACAAGCCATGAAATACATATTGACTATTGTCTTAAGCTGTCAAATGGTGGCATAATTTGTAATACAGCAAAATAAAATAAATTAGGTTAAAATTGCAACTTGGGAAATAAATGCCAACAATACCATGAAGACTGGCTGGAAAATATGAATGTTGAGGATTAAAATGCCTGCCACCCCTGGGAGAACACAAAATACTTTCAGGATGGTTAGAAACAGGGCAGGCAGCAGGCCTAACAGCAGAGCAGAAGCATCTGTAAGCAGGGAGCTGTGAACAAAACACACGGCTTAAAAACAGGATATGGAAGACCCTGATTCACACACAAGATGGCACTTACGGAGATATTGTGATTTTAGTGTCCGTGTCTTGCTCAATTTTTTTCAGGTTTCTTCCTTCTTTACCAATGAGACGGCCTACAAAGTTATTGTGAGCTAAGATCTTCAAGGGGATCTCCTCTGTGCTGTAAACAGAAAAATGGTCATAAAGTCAGGGAAAGTGAACCACTGGATACAAAGACAATGTTCTTTTGTTAAACATTTCCTCCCTGGCTGCAGAATGAGAAATCTCACACTGGCTCCAGTTTAAAGTGAGCTGGCAATTAACCTACATTCCAGCAACTCATGCAGGTCAGAGGGTAAGAAATAGCAGGTTATTTACATAGGAACTCATCTTTAAGACAGTTTTTCTTTTAATCACATCAGGTAATATCTACTCTCAGTGATAGATTCTCTTAGTCAAAGTGGAACACACTGTATAAATCAAAATACTGCATAAAAATAAAAAACACAGTATAAAAGTGCAATGCCAAGATGACCCTGAAGCCACACAGCTGAGATAACCACGTTCTAAAAACTCAGCAGTGGCCCCTCATGGGGAAAGCAAAGAGCAGACATGGAGCCTGCTCTCTGTATTCTGTGCCTTTGGGGAGCCCTGCTTCCCTTTTCTCTTTCCGTGATTAGGTGGTATGAGTGTGTATACACATCCATGTAGGTGTACTCACCCATGAGTGCATATGTGTTGGCCAGAGGTGTATCTGCCTCTATCGCTCACTACCTTATCTTTTGAGACAGTGGCTCTCACTGAACCAGGAGCTCACTGATTGGCTCGACAGGCTGGCCAGAGAACTCCCAGGACCTGTTGTCTCTACTTCCTCAAAGCCAGAGATACACAAAAGCCACTAGCACAGCCAGCTTTGCCATGGGTCTAGGGACCCAAGTTCAGGTCCTCAAGCTTACGCAGCAGACACCTTACCCACTGGACTTCTTTCCCAGCACCCTTTCGGAATTTCCACGTTACATATCCAGCTTTTCAAATGCTACAAGGAACTCCATGGCAGTGGGCTTTCCCTTTATTTTTTCTATACTAAAAACACTATTATACCCACAAACACCTATCACTAATGCACACATACAGTGGACTTTACAAAGTAAATAAAAGCAATGAGGTCCTAGGCTACCTCCTTGAGCCTTCCTTGCTCTGTTCAGTACATCAAAGCGGCAGAGAACCCAACCTGACTTGGTGATGGCAGAGACACTCAGCTCTAAACTGATCCCCCAGATCACCCTCCAGTTGCATCTAGTACAGGGTTAGGCTTTCACACCCCCATGCCCCACTGTGCATGGTGGGGCTGGCTACAGACAAAAACAGAATGCACAAGGTTTGCCAGTAAAGACCTGGGGCCTGTCTGGGGTGAAGCCCAAATGACTTCTGGGCCCTCAGTAGGCTACATGCCTTAGCCGCCTTCTTCTAGCTGTGTGTCTCTTCCCCTTTACAGCTGCTTGTTCCACATCAAGTATGAATGAAAGTGGAGTATGTCAGTTTCTATAAGACTTAACGTTTCATACCAAGTCAATAGTAACAAACACTATCTCATCAGGATAGCATTCCCCTCTGCTGCTTAGCAATTCCCAAAGACTGTGTCAGAGAAATCTGCAACAAAGAAAGAACCCTCTTCACAGGCTAGACCTCGTTACTCACAATTTTATATCTTGCGCTTCCTTATGCATAATCTCCAGAATAGACTTACAAGCTGCAGAGGTGCCTTCAGGGGTAGAGAGGATAGTAATGGACTTCTCCGCGGCCCCTGTATTCTCCTTACGATGGACATCGATTCTGATAGCAGGCATGAGGAGAGGAAAATGAGAACAGTCAGTGTGTATTCACCACAAGGAGTCTTCAATTACCAACTGCAAGCCCCAGGACTAATAGGAGAACCAAGGAAGACCCACTTTAATAAAAAGCAGAAACTCATGGTCAGCTGTCAGCACCAGTGCATTACAGATAGGGTGGGGGATATATTTTAAGACAAGGTCCAAGGTATCTGGGCTGCCTTAAACTTCCTACAGAGTGGAAAGGACCTTGACCTCCAGTTCTCCCTCTTCTGCAGGCAGAGTGCTAAGACCACAGGCATTCACCACCACGCCCAGCTCATGCAAACCTGGGAAGTTTTGTGCATTCTTGTTATGGTGGGTAATATTGATTGTCATCTTGATGGGGCTTACAGTCACCATGGTAACAAATTTTCAAGCACGTTTGAGAGTTTCTATTGGAGAAAGCACACTATAAATGGGGCAACACCATGTTATGGTCTGGGAGTCTGGACTGTATAGAAAGGAGATAGATAGCAGTACGAATAGGAGCCTTCATCCTTCCCGATACCTGACTACGATGCTGCAATGTGACCAAATGCCTCCTGCTCTACTCTGTCACTACGAAGATGGCTGTCTTCCCTCGAACCTGAGTCAGTAAAAGCCTTTCCTGCCTTAAACTTGTATTATCACAGCAACCAGACATGTAACTAATACACTAAGCAACACCAAACTTCAGACAAACTTCAATTCCAACCAAGCATGGCCATCTTTTCATTCTGCCTACGCTGTGTGTGCTTAAAGCTTCCCTTTATATGCTCAGAGCCGTCATGTAGTGTCAAGAGCCTGAGATGCAGAGAACTATGCATGTCAAGAGAGCCACAGCCAGAATCCCACACCCAGGTTGGTCCCCTGTCAGACACAGAATGTTCGCCAGTCACCCTATGGCAGACCTTACTGAGCCAGCATTTGTTTACAGGGTTCTGTAAAAAGTAGCTGCAGACTGTATAACACAGTAAGAAGTCTTTGATCTTAAGTGAAAATAACATGTATCATTTTTAAAGTTCCAAGTTGACAGACAGATGCATGTAAGAAGTCCTATATAAAGATACAAAGCCCAAAACTTAATGACTGAGGTGACAAGAATCTAATTCATTCTTTTAAAATTTTGTGCATTTGTACAATTTTAATTAACCATGAATTAAGTTTACTGTTGTAAGAACAATAATTACCTCTAAGTGTATGTTTTAGGAACATGTAAGCAAAACTGCTGGGTGGTCCTTGAGTTTCCTCCTCTCTTAAGGACTCACTACCATGAGAACACCTACTTCAACAAGCCAATAAAATGAAGCTTGCCTTTCATTTTATTAGAATTTGTCTCAGAATTAAAGCCTGTGACTTAATATAGAAATGAGACAAATAAGTGCTATGAGAATAAAATATTTTGAAGTGTGTCTTAGATAACAGAGCCAATCCCATCTTCCTAACCAGCTTTACAACCTAATCACTGTCAGCCATGTGGCTGTCCTCTAACATGCTCATGGCCCCTCCTTTGGTGTATATTTCCACCCCTTTACTGGGCTGAGGGCTATAAAACTCTGATCCTGAGAGGGGAATGTTGCTCTGGTGATCAGCACCCTCCCCTGGGACTATTCCAGAAACACAGGTTCTGGTAATGATTAGTTACAACGGCAAGAATTAATTAAATCCACCGGCACAGCTCAGCAACCAAATCATCAGATATGACAAAAACCACTCCCTTCTGCTTTGCCCCATCTGCCTACCTTAAGTTCAACTGAAAGCTCCTTTATCTGACAGATCTCATTAGCAGTCTGGAAGGAACTAAAGCTGCTACACCAAAAAGCAACCATGGACTAAGTTCCCAAAGGCAAGGGATGGAAGGGGGCAAGTCACTCTACACTTTCAGATGAAAGCTAGGAAAGCTGATCCACGCCCCAGCTTCTTACACTGTGGGTCACAACCTCACATGGGTCCCATTACTAAATGTGAGGGCTGTGAAAATGTTTGCAATAGAAAAAGTTTCTGAACAGGAGGTGACCAAAATTCATTTCCCAATCTCAAGTGGTATGAATCAAATGTTTCTGGAAGCACTTCGTTCTGAACAGACAATATGCACTCTTTGAACCACACCCTGTATGTATTTCCTTTACATCAAGAACACTGCCTTCAACATCTCAGATGCAGGGTTATGTGCAGAACCACCGTTCTTACTGTACACCTAAAGTACTCTGTTCTTAGGGAAACATAATGGCTTACTTGAGAGAAACAAAGACTTCTGACACTTTCTTACCATCATTTCTCAACATACATCAAATTGGCATGTTCTGGATTGCACTGTGTAAAAATATTTGATTTTAGATATTGGTATTTGAGTTGCTGATTCGAGTTTCATTAAAAAAAAATCATTAAATGATTTTGGCTTGGGATTGGGACAGACTTTCCAACAACTTCAGGAAGGGCCTAAATGCACTTGTGCCGCCGTTGTGTCCTGCGTGTTTATGTGGAGCAGCTGCTCCGCGGCCTCCAGGGTAACTACTCGGCCAGTGTCTCGTCCTCTACGAGACAACAAACAATGCATCTATCTCATTACTGTGCAAAATCAGCTTCCATCTTTAACTGATGGCAAAATCACGTGAATACCAAAGAAATGCTTTTAAATACATTTTTAAGGCTTTATTATCAGTAAACGCTTGATTTGAACCACAGACCAGTTTCTGAAGGATTTTCTTAGGTAAATTGGGGTCACACGGAAAATTTAAGAGGCTTCGACCTAGACAATAAATAGTTCAGTTGTTCTCCCCACCCACTAATTATGAATTTGGAATCATTAATTTTGCACATAGTTATCCAACACCTAGTGTCTCTTGCTTCAAAGCAGGGATGAGCAGGACAGGATGTCCCAGCAGGTTGAGTAAACATGCAACCATCACTAGATATAATTCTTTTAGGTTCTGCATGAAAATGAGCCTTCCAGTTGGCTTCAGGCAGGACGCCGTGATGAATATGGATGTCTCTCTGAGGCCCATGGAACACACTCAGGCATAAGGTACAACACCATGGTGCTATTTTCCGAAAAAGACCATGCTTAATTTCTCTAATTACATGAAACTCTTATTCTTACTAAGTTTAAAAACTAAAATCATCTAGTCATTTCTGTAGATGGGTCAAGCTGAAGAAGGTGTTGTCTGCTGCATACAACCCCTTCCCCCATTAACTTCCTTCCTAGAGAATGCTTCAGTTCTTCAGGGAGCATGGCTGAACAGGGCCAGCAATGTGTCTGTCATGTAGCACTCTACGAAGGTAGAAGTAGAGGCAGAGTTTATCAGCTTCTTTGAATCAAAATATCCATAGACGGCACGAAGCGTGGTTTGCAGGGTAAAACAAGTGACCTGTAACACGACGGAACTTGCGATCTGAGACAGGGCCTTAGATTTGGGCAATGGGTTTCACACATAGTTCGTGCACAGCCATTTTGATCATTTGAAAATGTAGTGGCTTCTTGTGTATCAGGCGGTGGCCCTGTACACTCGGGCTGTAGTGAAAAATGACATTAGTTCCCGCCTGCCTCTACCCAAGTGAGCTCTGATATTTGGTCATGATTTTCTGATCCCTTAAAGCCTGACAAATAACATTATCAAACATCCTCAAGAAAAAGCCATTCTAAGTTCAGCTTAATCACAGGACAAATTTAGACTGGAGGATGGAACCTTTTTCTTCACGTGTGTGTGTGTGTGTGTGTGTGTGTGTGTGTGTGTATGCGTGTGTGTGTGTATGTGTGTGTGTATGTGTGTGTGTGTATGTGTGTATGTATGTGTGTGTGTGTATGTGTGTGTGTGTGTGTGTATGTGTGAGTGGGCATGTCTGGATGCACATGGAAAGAGGTCCGTTGGGCTGGAAAGATTGCTTAGCAGTTAAAAACACTGCTCATGCAGAGGAACTGAGTTTAATCTCCAGGACTCACAACAAGAAGCTCACACAACCTACAACTCTGGTTCTAAGGGACCTAATGCTCTCTTCTGGCTACTATAGGCACACACACACACAAACACACACACACGCGTGCACACGTAAATAAATAAATGTAAAACATTTTCTGAAAAGTCAGAGGACAACTTTCAGGAGCCTGTCTCTCCTTCCATCTCAGGATGCAGGGATGGACTGCAGGTGGTGGTAAGGGCTTTGATGTGCTGAGCTAACTTGCCAGCCTTATTTGGTTATGTTTGTTTCATATAGCCCCAGCTATCTTCAAATTCATTACATAGATAAGAAAATGTTCAGGAACTCCTGATCCTCCTGCTCCCTCCTCCTGAGACAGGTATGTACCATGTCATCCATACTGACACTGAGGAAAGACAGGTAGAGGACCGAAGTCTGGCAGGGGGGACAAGTGGCAGAGAATGACCTATACACACAGCCCTATAGTCCCCTGGGCCGTTCCTATCACTGTAGCATCAGGTACTGCTTGCTTTCCATTCCTGTGAGAAAATGAGGCTTTCTTTGAGGTTTTATGCAACCGACAATGTATGACCAGATGACAAGGCTTCCCTAGCCACAGTCCCAGGCACTGTGGATGAGAGCTCCTAGCCCTGTCTCACACAGATACTGAACACAAAGGGGAAGACAGATGGCCACCCATTCCCACATACTCACTTAGACTGGGTCTGCTTCGTGATGTTGCGAATGGTGGCACCTTCTTTTCCTATAATGGCTCCAACAAACTGGGTGGGAACCAGCAGGCGCAGAGGCAGGTCACAGGGTTTCTGCTTGGACACTGATCCTGGAGACGCCTGCCTGGATGAGCCCCGCTGCCCTGGCCCCCGGCGCCCTCGGAGCTGAGGGGAGGGATTTTGCTGGGCAGCAGTTTCATCTGGGATGTAAGCAACCTTCAAGGTGAAGTTCTCTAACTGGAATCCATTCAATTTGTCTAAGGCTCTGAAAAGTTACAAGAAGCAGAGGTTGGGAAGGTTACATGGTAACCTGTACACAGCAGAATACAGCTCCCCCATTAAGAACCATCAGTCCCAAAGCTGATGAATACAGTCACTGTACAGGACAAATCTTACCCACACTCTTCTTTAAAGTCTATGCCTAGGGAAGGCCAGCAGGTTTCAAAGGCACACAATTTTAATCTCCCAGTGAGAAACCAAAACAAAAAAATCATGGTAAACTCCTGATTTGGTTAAATCAAGAAGTAATAGCTTGGAAATACCCCCTGAGGAAAGGAGCCCGCAGCTCCAAAGTAACTTAGCCCTTATCCCAAGCAAGGGCCTTAAAGAAATCACTGAACAAACATCCCTACAGCTACAGGGCACTCACTGGCTGTATACTCAGTAAAATTTCATGCTGAGCCACGCTCAGGAAAACACCAGCAGTTCCCTCATCTGGGGTGGAGTTTTGATCTGATCTCAGGGAGGGGGAGACGGCAGCTGGAAGAAAGGGAAGAGGGAAGCTCCTCTTCCCGTCATCCACCTGGTATCCTTTGTATCTGCATGGTGAGAACTTGAGGCTTTGCCCACATTTTCAGCTTTATCGTAACATTTATACAAGATGGCACACAATTTCAGCACACATGCCAGGGGGTTTAAATTAAATGTATTGCTGGTGGAGGTGTGCAGGGTATAAGTGATGGTCAGAGAAGGACTCTGTAGGGTCAGTCCTCCCTCCCTCCCTCCCTCTCTTTGTGAGTTGTGAGGATCAAAGTTAGGCTGTCAGGCTGCATTGTCGGCAGGCAAGGATCTTTACCTGCCGAGTCATCCCACAGTCCCTCCAAACCAAGAATTAGGACATGCCAGTACCACAGGAAACCTGTCAGGGCCCCGCTTCAGTAATTCCTCATTTTCTACCATGAATACAGAGCAATGCTGAGTCTCTATGTAAGTATATACACTAAGTATCCTGTGCCGTCTCTGCTCTTGTTTCAATGTAACATAGTCAGTCTCCCTTCCACACTCAGACAGGGAAGCTGACTGACTGCTGCCGTGTATAGAGCCAAGATTTCAAGGGTTCAAATCCTCTAGCTCTTAAGGCACCCACACCTTCCTAACTCCCTGGAGCAAAACAAAATGGGGGCGAGGAGGCTCTCCCACTTTCCTGGTCAGATTCTGTGGGAGCTACCACTCAGCTCCTGCAGGTAAAGATAAGAGCATCAAACACTTTCTCTAGCAGCTCCATGCATGCCATTTCTGTCTTAGTTTGTTTTCTTACTTGAACATCTACTTTTCAATTCTTAAACGGAAAGAAGAGGATACAAGGTGTCCTTAGCACTACACTACATGGGTCTGAGAATGGGACGGGAGGCCCAGGCAGGCCACCACGAAAGCTCATGCTGCTGTCTTCAGACAGAATTCTAGGTTTTCCCCTTATTTCTACCTTGTCCTACATCCCCTGGCACACAAATGAACCATTGTCAAAAGCTGGAGTTCCAAAGTACAGCAGGGCCAAGGTGCTCTGTCACTTTTCTCAGGTTGCTAAGTACAGCATCTCTGCAAATGTCTCAGCTCCTCTGCCTGTTTCACAAATGTGGGAGCAAGTACTCTCAGCCCCTGCTGAAGTCTGGTTGTGGCTGTGATGTGCAGTGCTCTGTGGCTGACTTGTTTTCAAATATACTAGGTGGGGGGTGACTTCCACATGATTTTCTGTCAGAGGGCATGCTTTACACAAACACCAGAGGCTGACTTATCACCAATGCCCCAGTAACAGGACCTCACACACTGGTCTTTGCTTTCTTCTTAAGCAAATGTAGATTAGATCTGAAAGGAGAAAATGGGGACGTTTTATTAATAAATAGATGTCTATTTATGCTACAAAATTGGATTTTCAACTTTTGTTTTTTTTTTTTTTTGGGGGGGGGTTTCGAGACAGGTTTTCTCTGTGTAGCCCTGGCTGTCCTGGAACTCACTCTGTAGACCAGGCTGGCCTCGAACTCAGGAATCTGCCTGCCTCTCCCTCCCAAGTGCTGGGATTAAAGGCGTGTGCCACCACTGCCCGGCAATTTTCAACAATTTTAAAGATTAAAGTAATTCAAAGCCATTCTGAAGGCCAGATGAAATCATGAAAGATTCTTCCAAACATCTCAACTAAATGAAGGAATCACAAACCCTTCTTAGACATAAAAAAGGAGACCATTCACCATCTGCCCTTCATTAGGAAACTGGGCACTGCTGTCTTTAGCAGTTAGTAGATCTTACCATGGAATAAAGCCAGAAATGATACAGAAAGAGTGAGAGAGATACACAGACATCCTTCCTCATGGGGATAAACAGAGGAAAGTATATGTTGCCAGATACTTCTGTGTATTCCAGAACACTCTAAACAAAGACACACATGTCCCAAGAAACAACTCTCAAGTTGGCAGAAACCATAATTTGTATATTCTACTGCAATGTTTTAAATAGTGTTCCTCTGAAGGAAGAGATTCTTCCAGGGAAGAAGTGAGAAAGCATAAAAATTGTGGTACCCGGTATAGTCAGGGAACCACGTTCTAAGCACAGGCGACTCTGGGGGGCAAGAAGACAGCAGTTACACCAGGTGCACCCAGCTGTGTGTATGACTGACACAAGCTGAGTTCCGCCTCAAACCACATGCTCCGAATGAGGTCAGAACTTAAGAGAGTACAGCAGTCACCTAGCTACAAAGCACTGGCTAAAGCTCCCTAGTTTACGGATTTTAAACCAACTGCTGAAACCTTTCTGTACACACAGTTTGATACCTAGCTCTGACATGTGGTGGTGGTGGTCTGCTAAGTGCATGAGAAAAACCTGTAGTATTTTCACTAAGCCTTCTGTAAGACCTGAGAGAAGAGCTGTCATAATCATTCAATGGAACTCGGGCACCTCATCCAACGTATATGCTGCTTACGTCCACTGTTCAACAGCACTCCCATAGCTCTGTTGCTATTCTAAATCATTCAGAAGATGCTGAAGGGGCTGGTGAGATGGCTTAATGGTCAAGGTGTTTGTGACTTGTAGACACAAAAAAGAAGAACAGGGCTTGATCTCAGCGGAGGATAGTGTAGACCCTGACTTCCACACATGAGCAAACATATATGTGCCCTCATACATCTGTACACAAACACAGGCACAACCTGTGTGGTTTGAATATGTTTGGCCCAAGGAGTGGCACTATTAGGAGGTGTGGCCTTGTTGGAGTAGGTGTGCCACTGTGGGTGTGGGCTTTAAGACCCTCATCCTAGCTGCCTGGAAGCCAGTCTTCTAGCAGCCTTCAGATGAAGATGTAGAACTCTCAGCTCTTCCTGAACCATGTCTGTTTGAATGCTGCCATGCTCCCAGCTTGATGATGTAAGCCAGCCCCAATTAAATGTTGTCCTTATAAGAGTTGCCTTGGTCATGGTGTCTGTTCACAGCAGTAAGACCCTAACTAGACACAGCCCATACTCACAGGGCAATTATAAGTAAGTGTAACTTTTAAAATTATTAAATGTGTTTTTCTGGTTTATAATAATTAACTATATTAAGTTTATTGGGATAACACAAAAAGGCCTCACTAGAATAGGAAGTTTGACCTAAGGACCAAAAAGAGGGAGGAACGACTAAAGAAACGATAGCCCATGAGTTATTCTTCCCCACACAGTGATGTGAATGACAGAGAATATGGACAGCTGACTAGTACTCTCATCCAGCTTGACTAACAAGTACCCATGCTACCCTAGAGTGTCTTGCTAGCAGTTATACCCAGTATCTTGTGCCTGCTAACTACATGTTCTTCCACAGAAAGATGTCACAGAAAGATCCCACAAGGTCTCCTCCTCTTACTTTCATACTACTGCTGAGGTATGTGCTAACATGATGACTTTTAACCACCTTTGAACATCACAAATACACTTCTCTTTTTGTACCATGATACTGCCATCAAAACTCATGGTATTTGCAGATGGAATCTTAGGGGACAGTGGATACAAGGGGACCAGGTAGGGCCCTAATCCAACAGAACTGTGGTTTCATTAAAAGAGGTAAGACCTGAGCTAGTGTCTTAGTTAGGGTTTTACTGCTTTGAAGAGACACCATGACCCAAGCAACTCTTCCCACCATGACTCTTCCCCTACTGGGTGGAGCTTCCAAGGTCACACCCACAGTGATGCACTTTCTCCAACATGGCCACACCTCCTAACAGTGCCACTTGGGTGATTCTTACACATTACCAAGTCCATCTGTAGCACAAGGTACAACCTTGGCTATCTCTGGAACACAGCTTCTTTGTGCTCTCAGAAAACACTTCCCAGAAGATTTCACCTCAGTGATGCTGGTCTCTTCTTAATCACCACTAACTTCTTAGCTCCAGCTAACCAGCATCAATTATCCCAGTAGTCCCTTCTATTCTTGACTGTAAAGCCAGAGCTATGTGGCCAAACCTGCTGAATTCTGCTGCTTGCTGGGGCTTGAACATGCCCTTCTCCCTGTTCTACTACATTATCACCAACTTTCTGTTTTCCAACTCCTTCACTGCCTAAGCCTGGCTGTCCTGGAACTTGCTCTGTAGATTGACCTTGATCTCAAGAGATCTGCATGGCTCTGTCTCCTGAATACAGGGATTAAAGGCATGTACCACCACCCCTAAATTTAAGCCTTTCTTTACCTGGAACTTGCTCTGTACCAGGCTGTCCTTGAACTCAAAGGTCTACTTGCCTCTGTCTCCTGAAATTAAAGGCATGTACCACCATGCCTGAACCTAAACTCTTTTTTTTTTTTCCGAGACAGGGTTTCTCTGTGTTGTCCTGGCTGTTCTGGAACTCACTCTGTAGACCAGGCTGGCCTCAAACTCAGAAATCTGCCTGCCTCTGCCTCCCAAGTGCTGAGATTAAAGGTGTGTGCCACCACCGACCGGCTGAACCTAAACTCTTTATGGTGACTATACCTCAAGATCCAGATCAAAAGCTTGTGTCACCCATGTCAATTTGACATACAATCATATCCCGT